ATTTACTTTAAAATGACTTTTAGAAAAGAAAAATAGAAAGAAAGGGATAACACAAATATTTAACAAAACTGAACTACCCTCATCACCATTTCATCCAGTACTACATTATTTTTTTACTGCTTTTTATGGGGGTGTTTTTTGTTATATTTTGCCTGTTTCACTGCTGCACAATACTTGGGTTGAATAAACCTTTGCGTGTGTGACTCAGGTTCGTTTTGCTAGTTAGCTACATTCTCATATTAATAGTGATTGATCTTGGTCTGTACTGCGTATTAACGTGTTTTCAAAATTATATGTGGGTTGCATTTTGCTTTATAGTTGATATCGTAAATGTTCTTGTATTACTTCCTTGCGGCCTTGCGGGCAAACACACAAGATAAATCAATTCAGCAGCGAAACTATAAAGCTGGTTAATCTCTAAGTCTAGTCGGCTGGAACTGGAGGCAATCGGTCTAATTTATTCAAAAATAAATTTGGAGTATCATTGAACATTTTAAGATGACAAGCATTTGAAGTGAAATGGGCAAATTATAGATTTTATTTGTGCAATAATGAAAAACACCTGCAAGTACAGGTACACATTTGACGCATTAGTAGAAGTCACGATTTTAAAAAAAGTATCATAAAAAAGCAACACTCTAGTTGAGTGCACAGGTGCAAACCTTTGATGGGATAAACACCACCGGTAATATACATTTTGGGAAGCCAGAAAAATAATTTGTGTATGTTTTTTTGATAATATAAATATGAAGGCCACTTTTCCCATGCATAATTTCCTAAGAACTATTGATGAATGTAAGCTAATTGTGTAGTTGGTACACTTGTTGATACACGAGCCACAACAAATCCATAAATTACATAAATACAAATTTATTCACATAATATTCATCCATATAATGGTGTTTTTAACTTATCAAGAAATGAAACATTGATGAAAATATGTCTTTAACAACTTAGAAATAGCGTAAAATCGACAAAGAAACTCTTCCTAAAAAATACCAGTTCTAACATGACTAAACGCCTTAAATTATTCAAGAAAGGATATAGTTCACATGGGTCAGTAAATAAAAATAGCTTTTCATAGGCACAGTACATGTAACACATCACGTGTTAAGTTCAACCTCAATTAAATGAATATATATATATATATATATATATATATATTCTTTTTCTAAAACTTATACAGGGTCTTTAAAACTGTTAAAACTTTATGTGAGTTGCTACATTTTTTTTCCTTAAGGGTACTATGTCCCATTTGCAGGCCAAAAAAATGAAAAAGTTAAATTCCAACTGCATTTGAAAGATAATACTAATTTAGAACTTCCCTAAAAAAGGTAGGGCTTGAAAATGTGTTCAAGTGGGAAAATAACGACTATTAGTTGTCAAATCGACTTTAGGGCTATATAGAGCCCAAAAGTAATAGTCTTGATTTTCAGACAATTGTACCGAATGGTCATACGTTTTATGCTGCGCAAAGATTCAATCAGTTTAATCTTGGCCATCACAAGAAGTGGGTTATTGATGTAGACAAATGCTCATGTACCCTTCACAACTCTTTTCATGTATGTTATTACCAAAGAAGAAAAAAGACCAGTCAGTCACTCAATAGTGTCTGACAGTGAAGTTTAGCAAGTAAACGGGTTTCCTTGCATAATTTGAATATGAGGACACTGCTAACGTTTAAATTTCACAGATAGGACATACATGACATATTCATAATTCCTGCAAAGTTCTACAGAATTTGAGGTTAGCTGCAAAAGGGACATAGTACAGGTTTTAAACATAATGTGTGAAACTTTTTAATACTCATGTATTCAAATTACGACTTAAAAATAGAAATATAAAATGAGGCATCAAAAATGAAAGTCAAAACTTCTTTTTTTTTAAAGAAAAACAGATATGGATATTGGATTTTCGTTGTTGCAATTCTTTACACGAACATGGAAAGAATTCAATGTGTGAACTTTACACAGACAATTTTAGGACGAGATTGTCATGTGCCTTCTCATTGAGATGAAAGTGACATTAATGTAAATTTCACAATGACAGACTTGTCATGTAAACATATACTGGCGGCAGTAACATCTCATTAAAACGAGATGAAAATGAGATGAAAATAATAATACTCGTATTGGCTCTAGGTAAAGACTGTATTAAAATGGTCTCCATTCATACTCTCTCAGGTGCAATACACACAACGACATATGTAACACCATTTTTTGGTTTAATTTCCCACTTTCCCGAAACAGGCAATATACCATTTCTGTCCCACCTCAAAAAGGCCTGAGCAAATATTCAAGATGGATAACATTGATAATAATTCATTGAAAACCCTTCATTGAAGTACAGTTTTTGACAATTTTATCATCATTATCATAATCATTGTTGTTATCATCATCATTATCATCATCAATTATAATAATAATAACAAAAGCCATAAGAAGTAATATTAATAATAATAATAATAATAATAATAATGATGATGATGATGATGATGATGGATGATGACGAATAAGGATGATCAAAAAATTGATGATGATGATGATGATAATAATAATACAAATGACGTTATTATTTTATTGTTGTTATTGTTTATATGTCCTTTTTTGCAATATTTACTGATAATAGTTTAGTTATTTGATATTTTAACTTATGTAACTTATGTATTTATTCATTACTGCTATTTTATTATGTATATTTGATTTAAATTTTATTTTGTACCCAACACAATTGTCAGTCTTTGGACTGTTTGCTCTTGGTTTATGATGTTTTGATTTCAATAAAATCCTATATATATAATTATACTTCTAATAATAATAAGAAGAACAAGAACAAGAACAAGAAAAAGAAGAATACTCATGATAATTATAAATATAATAAATAATGATGATCATCATCATCCATGATTTTCATGTAGCATCTGTCCAATGCAGGGACAACGATCCGGGGAGGGGGGGGGGGGGGGGGGGGGAGGGGATACGTCCCCCCCCCCCCCCCCCCCCCGGAAAATTTGAAAAAGTGCAAAAATGAAATGTATGGCAAATACTGAATAAAGACTGCAACACACTTTTAGGCTCAGGAGGGCCCAAGAGTGCAGCATTTAGACAAATAAAAATGCAAAAATCTTCTTGCTTGGTTGCTATGCTCCCTCGCATATATAGATTTTGGCAGCAGTAACTAAGTGAGGAAAATGTCATTGGAGGTGCACAAAGTATATCCTTTTACCATGAAATAAAAATGGAATATTACTTTGATACCAGAATTTAAATCATTGTAAAGTGCACTTTTCAAAAACAAAAAGAATGTAACCTGAACTAGTTTTTGCATCCTTCTTCATGTTTTCAAAATCAAGATACAAATTTCAATCTTCGAGAGGTCAGACAGACAACCTTAAACACAATATCTTAGCCGATGTTTTTAGCATTTCAATTTCATATTTTTCCTGAGTAAATAGACCATTTAAAGGTAAAGACCAGTATTGGAAACACCCCAATTTCAAAAATGAAACGGACGCTCTTATTATCAATCATGTGAAAGAATATGTTTTGAATATTACATGACGATAACAATTTTGACGGGAAACCGCCTACTAATTGATATATGTGGTAAATTAGTATATCTATAAACTGTTGAGAGATACAAATGCATGTGTTGCGCACGTGTGTGTAGTCCCATATACATCTTTCTGTGTACAGTGCTTCTAACTTTATGAAGACTTGGCCAAATTTCTTATAACTTTGATGATTCCAGAACCTTGCAGTACATCTATGCTAGATGATCAACCTTTTCTGATCGATTTCACAACGTCTCTTTCACTATGCAATTGCATGACCATAACTGGTCTTTAGCTTTAATATCAATTTTTGCTTATCATCACAAATTTTTATATTAATAATTACAAAATCAGCAGCATTCACTTTATTATGATGAAATACATGTATGTGACAAATCTGTTTGTAGAAAAATAATCTAACCAACCAGTCGTCTCCTCTGACATATGGCTGCTAAGAATCATCTCCAACTCCCTCATGAATGGCATATTTTTGGAGTGGTTTGATAATTCTCTTAATGTGGATGAGAATATATTTAATCAAATTTTTAAAGATCTATTAAGTCAAAAGAAAATGTCTAAGTATACATATAATATTTTGCTAAAGAAATATAGTTGTACTAATGCCAAAAGGGAGAGTAAATGGGAGGAACTCTTTGGCCATCAACCCAAAGAGAAGGATTGGTCGATTATTCATACGAGTAACTTTTGTTGCACAATTGAGACTCAGTTAAGGAGTTTTTATTTCAAAATTTTCCATAATGCTATTGGTTTTAATGCATTTTTGTTCAAGATTGGGAAAAAGGAGTCTGCTAATTGTTATTTTTGTTCAGATTTTCCAGAAACTTTAGATCACTTGTTTTGTGACTGTAGGAGAGTTGTACCACTGTGGGAAAAATTGGTGGATAAGATTAACACTGGCACTGATCACAGTTATAATCTGACTCTGTCAAAATTTAATTTTTTGTTTGGGATACAGTCAAGGGACAAATACGCCTCTTGTATAAATTTTCTCTGTTTATGTTTAAAATATTACATTTACTCATGTAGGTTTCAGGGAAAAGAACTTATTTTCGAAGCATTTGTTTCAATGGTAAAGTTCAAACAAAAAATAGAATATAAAATTGCCCAAAAGAAAAATAAGTTACAAGTCCATTTTAAGAAATGGTCTATCAAGTTTAACTGAAATTTAGGAGTAGTCTTGCAAAGCTCTGTTGTCATTAACATCTTCATTGGCTTTTTGAATTGTAAACTTGCCCTCTGGGAAAGTATATGAGTGTGAGTGTGTGTGTGTGTGTGTGTGTGTGTGTGTGCGTGTTTATGGGTGCATGAGTGCGTGCCTGTTTTGTAGTTTTAAGATGATATTATATTTTATATTGCTGCTTTTACTCTGTTAATTTTTCAGAAAAAACAATAAAAACAGAAAGAAAAAAAAAGAAAAAAGAATCATCTCCAACACAATTATTTCTTTATCCCCAATAAAAAATCACCTAATATAACAATTCACCTAGAAAAATAATACCATGCCCCCCCCCCCCCCCCACACACACACACACACCAAATATACCTCCGGCTACAATGAATGCTACATCACTAGAAAAAATACCTTCCATGGAAAGAAAGAAAGAAAGGAGAGGACAGCTGCTCATCCTCTAAGGTCAAGATGGTGTCATGAAACCCTGATGGAAGGAATGATGTCCCCTAATCTGCCCTCTATCTTTAGCGGTCCTAACTTGTCGGCCCTAGTCCTGCCAATGTTGACGATAGCGATGGGTTTCTTCTGCTGCCAGGCAGTGTGGACAAACCTATATCCCGAGTAAACCTATAGTAAATGTGAGATTGGTCAAAGAATGGTAAAAAAATATGAAGGATTTAGATCCGAAACATAGCAGCGATAAAGAGCAAGTTTTATATCCATTTTACATATCACCACACACAGTTTCTGTCAGGAATGAACTTTTAAAGATCTTCATTCATTTTGAAATTTATCTCTTATGATATACCACAATATGTTCCTCCCATCAAAAATAATTGTCCAATATTATTTGTTGACATAGGAATTCCTTACCCTGTATCCCAATTAATCCAAAGAATAAGAAGATTGGTTTTGACTGTCACAGGCAAATTTTAATTTATGACTTTTCATAATTTCTATCTGAGGCACCTATTAAGTCATGATACTGAATCTGTCCCTAAAGTACTGAGCTTTTAGAATACCATCCTGGAACATTGCTGTGAACTCAAGAAAAAATTACCTCAAGTGATGATCCTATGACAAGGACTGAATCACTCTCTTCCAACCTCTGAAAGACAAACTCCTTGATCTCTGGGTCGACATTATCCCCGAAGAACACCAGGTGGGGTTTGAGAAGTCCTCCACAGCTTTCACAAGAAGGCACCTGGAACTGGGTGACAAGTTCTTCTGGAAGGATCACATCGCCATCAGGAGCAGCAGCATACTCCGTTTCAGTGTGGAAGTTTGGGTTTGCAGCGGTCATTCTCTCTTGAAGAGCATTCCTGCTAGTGAGGGTCTTGCAGTTCATACAGATAATTCTGTTCGAGCAGCCATGAAGTTCGGTTAGGCATCGACTTCCTGCTTTTGTGTGAAGGGCATCTACATTTTGGGTCACCAACCAATGTATTTTTCCAACTTTCTCCCACTCTGCAAGCACAAGATGGGACTGATTTGGCAAAAATGAGCTGAATTGAGGCCAGCCCACATAGTTCCTGGCCCAGTAGCGTTGTCGCCGTGAGGGACTATGAACAAAATCACGGTACTGGATGGGCTTCCTGTCACTCCGAGCATAAAGTCCTACTTCATCTGAGCGATAATCTGGTATTCCAGATTCGGTTGAAATCCCTGCACCAGTCAGAACAAACAAACGTTTGGATTTATCTACAAAGTGTTGAAACTGTTCAATGCTGCTTTCTGTTACAGGCCGACTTTCGGGGACAAATTGAGAAAGAAACCTGCGTTGATACAACGAAAATGGAGTGAAGGTAGGTTGGCCTGGACAGTTAAGATTGACATTTTCTTTTGAGCAAACTCTGCTCTGTTTCGAGTCAAATTGACTACGATCCATTTCCTGCAGGGATCCCACCGAACCCAGTCGAAGCGCTCGCCCAACGCTGGCGGGCCATGGTATTATTACTCGAGCTGCCAACAACAGCGGCATTTTTGCCTCAGCTTGATGTAACTTAGTATTTGATCATAAATGTTTATAAATAATTTACAAAACGTTTATATGATTAATCAAAACTATCAATATAATGTTAAATCATGGTTTACCTTTATATCTAAAATACTATGATGGTTTAATTCCGTGGTTTTACTCAGTGTTTTGAGAAAAACATCGGTGCTTGTAGGAGGAGATTGCGGTTGCGTAACTCATGCAAGATTTAGTTTTATTTCAATGCAGTAATGATTCTTTGAGTAACATGAATTCTTGTTTTGATTTAACAATGATAGCACAATAAAAATGTTTAGCTCATCACCAATCACCTTAAAAATTTATCAGGTTTAATTTATGGTTAAATTTCTACTTGACAAAGCCCTTTCATCATTTTTTATCAAATGGCGAAAAACAATTTAGCTTTCGTCAAAGACTATTGTATTAAGGTGGGCGTGGTTTATAATCACCATGTAGAGACAACTCAAAATTGATTTGGATTTTCTTCTATTGTTCTGAGACTGAGGGAAGTGAATATAATTATCTGGGTTCTTGTAAAATGCCTGGTTTTCAAACTGTTCGACACTTTTTCATTTAAACCAAAGATATTCCAACATTAACTGTTTGAATGAGTGATGTATATCAACGTGTGCATGACTTCTCGGACAACCACCACCACAGTCTGCAGATCAATCCAGCCTACTCTAGCCCGGTGGAGCTCTTCACATCACGCTTTTAGTGCCTCACCCTCCCTCTCGCTCGCCCATGATTCTGCATGTTGTATTTATGATACAAGGCATGCTCTAGCTCTAGGACAAACAAGACAACAAACACGAGGACTTAATTGTTGCTACAAATCTACACCTTACGATTTAGCATCTAAACACATTTTAGGTCGTTCTTTTGCAAGTACTGCCAGGAATAATGCCATGGATTTGAAGAGAGTGGTATCGCTCCTTGAAGATTTTGCTCCTACAAGTCTGGCGGGGAGTTGGGACAACGTAGGACTGCTTGTAGAGCCTACTCCTCCACACACTGTGTCAACCGTATGCCTGACCAATGACCTGACAGAGGAGGTTTTAGACGAGGCCATCGAAAAGCAGACGGATCTGATCCTCTCCTACCATCCACCTATATTTGTTCCACTGAAGCGTTTGAGGCAGAGGAACGTGAAAGAGAGAATAGTTGTCAGAGCTGTGGAGAAGAGAATTGCAATCTACTCACCGCACACGGCTTGTGATGCCGTCGAAGGAGGTGTCAATGACTGGCTTGTAGAAGGGCTTGGAGGTGAGAGAGATTGTTTAATGTGTTAATGATTTAATTTGTAGTCTTTTGACTTTGAGATTGGCTAAAACTTACCGGGTATTTTTAATAAGACGTTTCTTAAACATTTTTTGAAGTAAATTTGCCACAAAGTCAAACAAGGGGTCAAATGTCACATGATTTTTTTAGATAGTGAGTATAGAGGATCTGTTGTACAGTGTATAGGTCTAGCTAGAGAAGGTTAAGCAGGGCTTTTAATACAATTGACTTTAACAGTTTAGCATTTATATTAACAGGATGTATTTGTAGGAATCTTCTTAAAAACTAAGTCCTTTAGGATGATGTTTTGATGTGCTTGAGAGGATATTTGTAAAATATTTATGGGACATTACAAATAGTAGAGGTTCATTTGCATGCTTTGGTCCATTTTTAGTGATGAGCTCTGAATTTAAGGTCAGAGCGAGTTTCAACATTGGTTCATGGCCAGAGCCTAAAATCCTCTTTTCCAAAATCATATTTATAGATAAGTAATCTATACAGGTTGAAATAGTGTGAGGATAAATTTCAGTGCACACACACACATTCAAATTGCTTGAAGTTTGATTACAGTTGACTTCACAGAAAGGTAGACACTGGATCTATTTACGGTATCTCTTATTAATTCAATGTCTTTATTTGTATTACTTTTTGTCAGATACCAGTTCTAACAAACCATTAGAGCCATGCCTAGATGTAAAGAATGGGGATGATTTCAGCATCTGTGTGATGGCCCCTCAAACTGACGTAGAAACGGTAGAAGCCACCTTACAAAAGATGTCAGGAGCCCATAATGTGACGTGCATAGTTACAAACAACAGGTAATGAAAGGGTTAGTAATGCTCTTCGATTGTAAAAGGATAGAAGTGAAAATTACACAAATTTGATGGGCATAACCATTACTTCATCTGTATGAAAGCAGATAAATTAGGGAAACAGAAAGGCGAACGTTTGAAATAAATCAGACAATAATTATTGAGACAGTTATAAATGTTTGAAATATGAAATCATTACATCTCATACCATTCTCTAATTTATCTGCTTTCTTTCAGAGCAATTCACTATCAAGGTTGAATTTTTCTTTAAATGTTTTCTCTCATTAACTCTTTATGAGCTTTGTTCAACTAATGGTGCTAACAGCGGACTGCAACGGTCAAAATTTGTCACATCTACAGTCTATATCTACCTACCATACCGGTACATCATCCTAAAATATGGCAGTCTAAGGTTTTAGTCCATAGCAAATAAACAGTTTCTTTGATTACAGAACCCGGGTGGGCCCTATATTAAGCTGATGGGACTGAGAGAAATAGTGGTTAATGGGTTAGAGGAAAATTTCAAGTTTTCAACCTGATATCAGGTTGGTTTTGATAGAAAGAAAAAAAAACTGATCAGTGAAAGTGAGAGGAAATCTGATGAATGAACTCAAACAACAACAACAACAAAAGTAATAAGGATGTTATGAGTAGTATAGATTGATTTTTTTAAATAGAACATGCACTTCTTCATTTTGTATTTCTTCCTCACCAGTAATTACCAGATCACTTGTTCCTGTAAGAAGTCTGACCTAGGCAACATCTTATCATTAGTGCAAAGCCGCTTTGATGTAGACCAGGCCTCCTTGAAAATCACACAGCTGACAAAGGTAATTATCCATTAGTTTATTGAGTTTGATAATCATTACATTTATTTCCACTTCTCATAAAAAAAACATATAACAATTTACATACAATATCTGATAAATACAACAAAACAAGAAAATAGCATAACAGTATTTAAAGAATTTAGAGCACCTAGAATTAATACTTGAGACTGTGGTGGGGCCAACAGAGGCCATTGACCTATCAAGGGCTGATAAACTGGATTTAATAAATAGGTTTACTTGCGCATTGAGCAATTTGCTTCTAAGATCAAGAGAGAAGCCCCATTAACGTAAAAAGAACCACAATAGTGATTTGCATCTTAAAACATAAACAGAGACCTGTGTGATGTGATGAGGAATTTTTTTAATTATATATTTCCTTCATTCCTTTATTGTGACTTTTGTTGATCCAATCTCATTCCCTTAGGCACCCATGGCAATAACCGGAGTTGGACGTATGGCCACCCTGCAGGCTCCTGCCCCTGTATCGACAATGGTCAAGAGAATCAAGACCCATCTTATGCTGGAACATGTGCAGATAGCTCTCGGTCAAGGGAAAACATTAGGTATGAAAGTAACCCCCTTGACTACTGAACTCAGGGGGGGGTACTCACATATTAAGACATAGGGGGGTATGTCGCTCTAATATGGGTCACTTTTACACAAAAATCCCTAAACATGGGTTCCATTTTAAACAAAATTATCCATAAACATGGGTCTGCTTTTTCAAAATTTCTGAAAATTGTGAAAAGGGGGCTTTACTTCAAGAAAAATCCCCCCCCCAAATGAACCTAAAAAAGGGGTATGGTTTCGAAGCTTGAGCGACACCCCTGTCCAAACCAAATCTGATTAAAGTTTACTGTAAATATTTAGAGTGTTCCTCACAAACACATTGTAGGGGCATGCCTTGATCACTTAAAATATTTCTTCTTCTTTCCTTTTTTTTTTTGAGAAAGGGAAATTTCACTTGATATCTGATCAACTTACAAGTTGATTTATCTTTATTCATAGTGCAGTTTAATTGTGTACACTTGCAATATCTGTCTACTGAAGTAATGTTTAATGCTGATGCATGTACCTCAATTGCAGGATAACAGCATAAAATTTTTAGTTTACAAAGATAAATAATTTAAGATGATTGTTCAACTACCTCCATGTTTTATTTGTATATTTTTCATTTAGACTCTGAAATATCTACCGTGGGCATCTGTGCTGGGTCAGGGTCTAGCGTCCTCAATGGTTTGAAAGCAGACATGTTTTTGACGGGAGAGATGTCACATCACGATCTTTTGGCAGCAGTGGCAGAAGGAACAACAGTCGTCGTTTGTAACCATAGCAACACGGAAAGGGGCTATCTCCATGTGCTGCAAGGAAAGCTAACCAGCATGTGCGAAAATAAAATCAAAGTGTTTGTGTCGGAGAAAGACAGAGATCCACTCGAAGTTGTGTAATTTTTTTAATGTGAATGTGATTTGATACAATTCTTTTTCCAGAAAGCATCAAAGCTATTCTTGAGAATCATATGTCAACAGAATGCATGACTATAATTCATTCTGGATTATTTATCTTGCAGTAGATCCTTTACTCAGTCCCTGTACATGTTCTACCAAAGTCATTTGGCACATGCCATTTATTTGTAACTTGAACATTCAATGTTAACGTTTTGTTGGTTTCTGTGAAAAATTATTTTCTATCATTACCAGAACTCAAGCTTATCTTTAAAGCCACACTGTCCTACTTGTAGCTACTTGCTCCCTCTATATAGAAGACAATGCCTAATTGGTGACCATTGGTCCCCGATGATCCTCTTTTTCTTATGTTAATTGAGAGCTAAGTTGATGAGATAACCACATGTCCAGTGACCTTGCAGGGCGGTCTAATCCCTCCTATAAACTAGTACAGATAAGCTTTAAAGGGTAAAGTCAACCTCATGAAGAAAAAAATCAGATTTTTCTTTTAGTTTTTCTTTTAGTTATTTATCAAATTTGCCTTAAAAATTCACTGATCACTTTTCTGCCTGAAGGTGGGCTTTCCCTTGTATGATAGTTTTACACTTTGTAGCTCATAGTATGTATCATAAGGCAACTGACCGTTTAGCTGGTTATCTTGACAAACCTAACCAGAATTTGACTGCGTACTGCTGTTAATAAAACACATGTTGTTGTTCTTGTGTTTTGAGTTATTGGCGATTAGTCAGTGATTTGACTATTGTCGCCAAAATACTTTACGGCACGTGTTATATCTCTCAATTTTGGATTTTTTTAAAAATATATTTATTTCGTTTTATATTTATCTAGCTTTTAAGATAGTATCGTAAAATAATATCGTAAGCAAAACATTCATGGGCTTTGTTAGTGTTTCTTAACAGTACGTTACAGTGACAAATATCACCTATGGTATCTTTAAAGTCCAAAAAAAAAAATTAAAAACAGTAGGCAAAAAATCATTGCTTCGCGAGACACTGATTATTTATCAAGAAATTGCATATTTTGATAACAGCTCCTTATTATTTCAGATATTGCCAATTTTGTGTTCAAATCATTTGTTTAGAAATTTATATTCATATCTTATCATACTATTGCATGATTTATGGAGCAACCATGTTATTTTTTACACCATTGGAATTAGCCATCAGCTCAACAATGACACAGTCTTCTAAGTAGCTAGCCTATGTTAAACGTGGCTTAAAGGTACTATGTTCCATTTGCAGGCCAAAAAATGAAAAATTTAAATTCCAACTGCATTTGAAAGATAATACTAATTTAGAACTTCCCTAAAAAAGGTGGGGCTTGAAAATCTCTTCAAGTGGGTAAATAACGACTATTAGTTGTCAAATCGACTTTAGGGCTATAGAGCCCAAAAGTAATAGTCTTGATTTTCTGGCAATTGTACCGAATGGTCATACGTTTTATGCTGCGCAATGATTCAATCAGTTTAATCTTGGCCATCACAAGAAGTGGGTTACTGATGTAGACAAATGCTCATGTACCCTTTACAACTCTTTTCATGTATGTTATTACCAAAGAAGAAAAAAAGCCAGTCAGTCACTCAATAGTGTCTGACAGTGAAGTCTAGCAAGTAAACAGGTTTCCTTGCATAATTTGAATATGAGGACACTGCTAACATTTAAATTTCACAGATAGGACATACATGACATATTCATAATTCCTGCAAAGTTCTACAGAATTTGAGGTTGGCTGCAAAAGGGACATAGTACCTTTAACTTAGTTCAATGAATTTATGGAAGGTAGACCAAGTACGGTATGTTCTGTATGAATTACTGTGAAAATATGTAATATAAAGAAGAAGTAAAATTTATTTCATTGTGGAATAAAAATGAGAAATTGATTTCAGACGGACAGGTTTTGTGTTTACATTTATTTATGGAATTCATATAATTTGTACAGGATGAAAAGGTTGATGACTTTTTGCACTCCATTAACTCAATGCAGCCCCACTTCACTACTTATAGCTACTTGCGCCCTCTATATAGCAAACAATGCCTAATCGGTACCTGTTGGTCCCCCATGATCCCCTTTTTCTTATGTTAATTGAGAGCTGATTTGATGAGATAACCACCTGTCAGTGACCTTCAGGGAGGTCTAATCCTCCTGGCCAAACTAGTGCAGACAGGCTTTGAGGCAGAGTTCTGGACACGAGTTTGCTTGCCCATTAAGAATTAAATTTTCAATTTACTTCTCGTTTGTTCAAATTTTCTTTGTTTTCTTTTTTTATATTTCAATCTTTCTTCAAAGGATTTTTTATATTTTCAATGCAGAGTATTCATTTATTAAAGGTTAGTTCACCAGATCCCCTGCTCCAAGTGGAAAACAAATATTGTTGTGTTTTGTAGATTCAGCTTTGTGAGTTTGACTTGGGCAAATAGTCCATATATACATGTATGTTGTAAATTCCTGGGGGAAAATGGTGACGTAATACAGACAGAGACTACTTCTTATGTCATCATGAATATTTAATTAAAAATATTAATATGTTTTTGTGTGAGGAGTTGATGTAACAGCTCAGCAGTTTTTCTAATGGATAATAAAGATATGTGAAAAACAATATTATGTATATGGAAACAATATATTGTTCGTATTATGTTTACTTAATTTGTTACTTCAATTAATTGACATGGTGCTTTCCTTTAGATGATATCTAGGAAGAAATTAATTACACGATGTTAGCAATTAATGGCAACAGAGGGAGTCTGACAAGTCATACTCTGAGAATTAATGGTGTCATGTGACAGTTAAAATCCATTGGTAAAAATAACCATTATGAGCAGTGTAACATTATCAACACTGAATAAAATATTTCTAAAACAGTAGAATGTTAAAGACTATTTTCATCATCTTTCACAAACATTGTTTTCTACATAAGTTGATGATGGTAATGTTGATTGTTTGAAGAAAACAAAGAAGAAGTTATGCTAATTACAATAGATAAACATACAACACGTACCCACACACACACATACACACCATAATCCTTCTCTCTCTCTCTCTCTCTCTCTCCCCTTCCCTCTCACCTATCTCTCCCTCTTCCTATCTCTCTCTCTCTCTCTCTCTCTCCCCTCTCTCCCCTTCCCTCTAACGTATCTCTCCCTCTTTCTAGGTCTTTCTCTGCTCTCTTCTCCTCTCTACCCAAAGCTAATCATGCATCCCAAGCTATCCGTCCAGCCATGTCTCTCAAGAAGAACCGGATGGACCCATTGCTATAATTGTGGAATGTGGAATAATAATAATGATTACAATGATAATACTGATAATGATAATAGTGATAAAGATAATAATGGTAATGATTATAATGATAATGAACACAACAACAACAATGATAATAAAAATCAACAATGATAATAATGATTATAATGATAATGATATTAAAATAATGACAACAAAAATAATAACAGAAATCTTTAATGATAATGATAATACTAAATATAAAATAAAATAAAAATAATAAGAATGATAACAATAATACAACTGATGAGGAATGCCTCATCGGCATCACTTCCTGAGGGCCCTGCAAATCTATATTTCTCTGTGATTCTCCGAATTCGACGCGCAATTAAGACAATTTCTTCAACATAAACATAGCTATATCGTTCGTCAATCATCCCGCGATTCGATTTCGCACCTGTATCCATTCTCTTATCAATGGTCTCTAATCAAGCGACGCACCATCATCCCCTAAGGCATCCCTTCATTTTTCTTCATATGGCGAAGCCTATATAGGCTGACTATTACTTCTTACATCTGTAGATTTATAATGGCATGTTTGTTATCTAAACACTCAAATCGAATTTGGAGAGCTTTTCAAGCGTACGGTTTATACTTTCCGAGATGGAAGATCAAATTCAAGCGTATTTCCGAGCGACTTTCGAGAGGGAAAACGGAACAACAGAGGACGTTCCTCTATTCAGAGGTAATTTGATTTGTGTAGTGATTGCTTGATAAAGTGATACTGAAAAGAGGCAAACTTAAATGTTATGCCTCGGTGTTCCAATTTTGTGTGATTCTATTTGGTGATAATGTTATAAAGTCAGTGATATCACAATTTTAAAATGGAATATAGGACGTGTATAACTTGTATAACCCGATCTCTTTTGTTTAATCTGTAGGCGTAATGTGGCCGATGTAAAATTTGAATGTGGATGTTTATGGTTTAATGATAAAATTAGTTTATTGATCTTAAAAGGGTGATTAGATGATGTTACACAATTATAAACAGTTTTGTTTTGTTACATTTTCTTGATAAATTGAAAACGCCCGATTTTGTATAAAACTTTGATTGCGTCCAAAATATTATTTAACTCTCGAGTCATCTTGCGGCAATTTTTGTTCTTTCTACTTGTCTCAAAGTCCCCGCCTCATCTTGATATGGTTAAGTGCGTCTTTACTTGATTTGAATATTACTTTACCTTATCAGAATAATGATTTACAAATATTTAACTGTATATTTAAAACAATTTTCGACAATCTGTCGGCATCTATGTGCTTTAGCAATACTAGAGTTAGATATATCAAAAGTCCAACCCCCTCCCCCTATTCCCGTCATCATTATAAGAATACTAATAGTGCACATGAGCAATGAGAAATTAAAGAATGTCTGCTTCTATATCTTGATACATTATAGATTCCATCTCGAATGCATCGTCAGCAACTACGAGAAACATTCACTTCCCCTTGATGACCCCTCCTCGCGTTCATCCACCACCGCCACCATCACCATCATCGCCTTCATCCGGGCCTTCACCATCACCACACTTTTCCTTCGTCTCACCGAGGGACGTGTTCCTCGCCCCGCCCAGAACACATCGACGCCGACAACGGACAACGTTCAATGCGGAGATGCTCGACGTCCTCGAGACGGCCTTCGCTCGCACGCCCTACCCAGATATCTCTCTCAGAGAAGAACTAGCGAGGGTCGTGCAGCTCAACGAGTCAAGAATCCAGGTCAGTTGAGACAGATGTATATACTGAATTGAGATGGAATAGTTGTAATTTAAATCAGAATCCAGGTCAGTTGAGACAGTGTTATACTGCATTGAGATGGAATAGTTTTAATTCACATCAAAATCCAGGTCAGTTGAGACAGTGTATATACTGAATTGAGATGGAATAGTTTTAATTCACATGAAAATCCAGGTCAGTTGAGACAGTGTCATACTGCATTGAGATGGAATAGTTTTAATTCACATGAAAATGAGATCCGAAGATAATAATCCGAATTATGAGTCAACCCCCTCCCCCTCTCGAACCCCAGTCCCGGGAGATGATCCGGGGGGGGGGGGGGGACTCACATAATTAGGACATACGGGGGGAGGAGGTGCTGCTTCAATGGGTCCGGTTTTTTTTTTAATTTCCCCACCCCCAAAACACCCGACAGTTGTGAAAATGGCTCTTTCTTGGAGAAAAAAATGCCCCAAATTGCCCTCTAATAATGGGTAGGGGTTTCGAGGCGTGAGTGGCACACCTCCGTCCAAACCAAATCTGAGTATAGGAACCGGGGGAGATAATGGCCCGAATTCACAAAGGAGGTTTGTCGTCAAACCTTGGTTTTCGTACGTCATATGACGCGTTTTACGCGTTTTTTACAAACCTGGTTTGTAAAGAACAAAAGGAGGTTTGGCGAAACAAAAGGAGGTTTGAGCTCAAACCTTGGTCTGAGCTCAAACCTTGCTTTGTGAATTCGGGCCCACGTGTATAAGTTCTTTATACTGCCCATGATAACATGATACCACCATGAGTTCCTCAACTTGATACGTTACTCCTTTTTAAAGATTAAACCCAGCAAATAAAGACAATAACCATGCAAAAGCTTATAACGTATATGCTGAGATATCTTTTTCATGGTTATTGTCTTTATTTGCTGGGTTTAATCTTTAAAAAGGCGTAAGGTATCAAGTTTTCATTCATGGATAAATAATTAGGGGAGGGAGATTTCAGGGATTTGATGGAAAACTGGAAAGTTGGTGTCCATAGAGAAAAAATTTAGTACGTTTCTAACCCCGTTCAATGCAATGTTTTGTTTGTCCATATTTAAACGTCGACCCCCCCCCCCCCATACATACCGCCTCTTTGAATTCCTAGCAAGGGGGCACCGTCCTCCCTCTCCCGAATAAAGGAAACCTCAAACCAAAAAATAAGACAGTATATTATGCTGTAATACCGTATGAGATTCATTCCTTCCTATTATATTCCTTACGAAAATTTACAAGAGGTACACAAATAAAGATATTCTTGGTATGATTAAAGGCCTTTTAGCAAAAACAAACATAGGCGTAGCCATTTTCTTAATAATGTGAGTTAGTGTGCAGGCATTTGCGTACTGATGGGGGCGATTGCCCCGCCCCCATTAAAATTCAAACGTGATTTATTTCTAATTTGATACCAGTGATTTACAAATATTATGAGATACCCCCCCCCCCCCCCCCCCCCCCCCAGGCGCGGATCCACGAGCCCAATTCTTCCGGCCCGGCTATGGCAAGCCCATTGTGTAAAAACTAGATAAACTCAGTTTATCAGAAAAACTGTGTTTATCAATGATAAACTCAGTTTACCAACTGATAAACTGAGTTTTTCTGATAAACTGAGTTTATCAACTGATAAACTCTGTTTATCTGATAAACGCTGTTTATCTGATAAACTCTGTTTATCTGTTGATAAACTGAGTTTATCATTGATAAACTGAGTTTTTCTTGATAAACTGAGTTTATCAACTGATAAACTGAGTTTTTCTGATAAACTGTGTTTATCTGTTGATAAACTGAGTTTATCTGAGAAAAACAGAGTTTATCTAGTTTTTACACAAAGGGCTTGCCATAGCCGGGCCGAAAGAATTGGGCTCGTGGATCCGCGCCTGCCCCCCCCCCCCCCCCCCCCCACTCCAGGGACCGGATTCGATTTCCCCAAATCTACGGTAAAGGGGTACTTTTCACACAACAAAGTCCGGAAACTTGAGATAAGGGGTGCTTTCGATAATCCGGCCCGTATTGACTTTACATATCGGGGATAGGGGTGCTTTCAAAGGGAGGGAACATGCCTGCGCGTACCCTAAATAACACTGAGTGGGGGGGGGGGGGGGTGAAATGCCATGATATTCCGGGTTTTTCTTCTGCCCCAAAAAAGTTTTTGCCCATGACGCCACTACGTACAGGCGAACTGAACATGTATCATGTAACAAGCTCTAGCCTGTTTAGCCTTTTAATTTAATAGCAAAACCTTTATTTATGAATGAGGAAAACCATGGCTAAGAAGGAAACAAAAAACTATGAAATTTATATAACAGGGTATACAGTTATAACTCATGACAGTCGGTGGTCATATACGTCATCCGTCAATAAATAACTGTTTTCTCCGACTAGGATTACAACTCTTATTAATATTGACGTCTCAGTTGCTCTCCCCCCCCCCCCCCGGCCCCCTTCTCTCTCTTCTCTCTCTCTCTCTCTCTCTCTCTCTGTCGAGCCATTACGTCAGTCATTCATTAATGGCCTTCTCTTCCTTCAACAACAGGTTTGGTTTCAAAACCGGAGAGCCAAACAGCGCAAGTTATCTCGACAAGCTTTTCTTCACCACCATCACCAACATCACCAGGCCGCTCGGTCCACGTCATCTTCGCACAGGCGCTCTCCGCCCTCGACCACGCCCTCGGCGACTACGCCCATTGCTAACCTTACCTCCACCAATGGGACGATGACATTGGCTAATCGCAATGATTCAGATGATGATAAGGAGTGCGCCTATATTAACATTCATCAAAAATCGACTTCGCAGTCATATTCGTCATATTGATTAACAGACCTTAATACACAATACTTGCAGGGGACATCTTGAAAATGCTTTCTGCTAGAAAATAATTGTTTTCATAGCATCATTACAACGTTGTCTATATTTTTGTTTTTCATATTTTATTAAAAATGAGATCAATGCCACATGAATGTAAGTATGACCAGATATGGCTCTTAAGTTTCTGATTCACTTAATTGTTTCTAGTTTTAAAACTATTTTACAAAATAAATAATACAGACAAAATGATATTGTCAGAAGGTGAGTACCTCATATCAAGTTGTTTGCATGTACACATAATTAAAAAAGTTGTTGGCATGTAGTACTAATTGAATGAAAAGACTGAACTAAATGAAGAGTGTAATATGGAAAACTACGGTAACAGCAATATGGTGAAAGCTACGCTTGTAGGAACGAGCGATCCATGATTCACTAAATATTGAAATCACGGTATTAGAAAATTAATGTACGTCATGACAACAGTTACAATAACAACAACAAAAACTTCAGGAAAAAAGAATATGAATGAATGTATACCATTCTGTTCTTTTATTGTGTAATTAAACCTCATGATTATGTGCATGATGTGCAAACATCATGCAGCCTCTGCATTCTGTAAACGATAATTATGGTATTACAAAATATTTAAAACATTGCAATGTCGTAAAATAAAATGGAGACTAATCTAACAACGACCATCATTTTCGTTTACTTTTGCGGGATGAGATTTTGATGCTTTGCATCATCCATATAAAGCACTGATCATGATCTAGCCGTCTGCGCACGTAACTTTAATAATCCAGGAATACTATATGGCCTTATCATGCTAATAGTTTATGTCTCCAAAAAGAGAAAGACAAAAAGAGAGATTTAGAGAGATTTGGAAAGAGTGACGAGGATAGAAGAGAGAGAGAGAGAGAGAGAGAGAGGGGGGATGGGGAAAGAGGGATGGGAGCGAGAGGATGGTTTATAGAACACGAACAAAATCATTCCTTTTAGCCTGTAAACATATCTCATAGCAAAGCAAAACAAAACAAATCTCACTAATGCTGTGCAGTTCTACTTTGCATATACTTTGTATACTCCACCACTGAGAGTTGGTCAAAAGCTTTTTCTTATTTTGTCAGAAGCATTTTATTTAAATCCGTAATTTATTTTTTTATTTTACTTTACCAACAAATACTAGGCAATTATTATTTTTAAAAAATAGTAGGCAGTTGATATTTTGTATGGTGTCGCTTAAACGTGATTGACAATACCTATTCAGGAATAAATCAATTTATATCATCAAAGAAAATGAAATAAGAAGGGAGGATTAAGTCCTGGACCTTCGTTTTCCACGTATATGCGATGATATTGATGCATGCTTAATTTTACTTTTAAAAAAAGAAATGAAGACGGCCCCCTGGCAAAACAAAAAATTAAGAAATAGTGCTCACTACCCCCCCCCCCCCCCCCCCCCCCCCGCTTATTCGACCGGCGGTCGGTCGGCTGAGTCACCGCCAAATATTTTCTCAGGCAAAAAAGTAGTGCTCACATCCCCCCTAACAAAATTAGTGATCGGAAGGCCTACCCCCCCCCCCCCCCGGTATACGGCCAGCGGCCGGTCGGCTGTGTCGCCGCTAAATGTTTTCTCACGAATTGGGCCCCCCTTCCTCGCCGCCGGCTGGATCCGCCCCTGTGAATTGGTTTTATGTTTAACCACATAAATATTATTATGAAATGAATTACTCTTTTTATTCTAGTGCGATGAACCTTCATGATTGCAGCATTGATTGCATTTATTGAGGCGCAGAACTTTGTATTTTGCAGAGAAGATCACCTCCGGCGTGTTATTAATCATTTCTGCTCAGCTGGAGACGGCAGTTTGAAATACTTTTTTTTTCCTCGAACAACAAAAAAAAAAAATAATAATTAGGCACATTAAGGTTTAGCCAGCGCCAGTACTCACTCAAGCATATAGTCATGTTGCTTCTTCTGATTCAGATAATAGACTCTCACCGTCAACATGTCCATGCTCTCCGTATAATCAAAGGGAACTATTATGGTTGGTGAAGAAAAAAATGCAACCCTCTGGTTTTGTTGAAGATGGTAGGAAGTCCCCGCGAAAAACGTTGTACTAGTATACTAAAGTATTTACAATCGGGTAGAGCGGGTGTAAATTGGCTTGGGGGTCCTGAGGGGCGGACCCCCGGAAGTTTAGGGGTTTTAGGCATTTACTCCATTTACTACGGTCAGGTCAGCATATTTTGATACCTGATTTGTGACACTGACAGGTCACTACGTTTTTGTTTAATGACGCGAATCATGGTCTAAAACAATATTTTCAAACATTCAAAAAAATAAGACAGTTGCTAAAGATTAGAAAACATACGGTTGACCCATTATTAGGGTAAGTAAGTACATTTTATAGGTGAAAAATAAATTTATGTTTATAACCTAATGCAGACGAGTACCGTATTATCTCTTCCTCTCACATTAACAAAAACAAGATGGCAGAGTTTGTTTAACATATAGGCATGGGAGTCGATCCGGGGGGGGGGATGGGGATATATCCCCCAATATTTCAGGTGGGGGGTGGCCTGTACAATCAGCCCCCCCTCAATAATTCACCCTCAAAAAAATAAGAGAAAAAATTATGATGAGAGCCCGATAAGAGTAGTTAATGGTTATTACTCGCAAGATGACCGTCAATATACACATTTTGTTATCTCATTTTCATAATACAAACATTATATACGAGGTAAATGAGACAACCGTATATGACTGATATATTGAATTCTCGCTCATACGGCTTCATCAGGAATTGATGAATTTATTCAATTTGTTCAATCAACAGCATCATAGAAATGCAGTGCACCAAATGCAAAGACGCAGCGCTAAAAGCAACAAGCCAAATGTTAAGCGCGAAGTGTAAAAGTAGCAACTTTGCAACATCAGACAATCCTGGATAATGTAAACATAGCTGAACTCTGTGACAAATTCGTGATGAGATCGGAGACAAGGAGAAAGATTTTCCGACATCAGTATGACTTATAAGATAGTTCACTAGTTTTTATGTTGTTTCCGTTCACCCTTTTAAAAATTCACGTCATTGTATCTTTATTTTTATTTTTTATACTCATTTTATTTCCTGATATTTCCTAAACAAATTTCTTTTTTTGAGAACGAATATTATGTCACAACTTATTTTTGTTTAATTGAAAAGCTGATGTAGGCCTATGTAACTGACGTATTTCATACGAGACTATATTCGTGATATCACATGAATTTCAACAAAATTCGCGTTTCTCCATTTCTGTTGCAAACTGACACATTCCCAAATAGCCAGGAAGAGCATATATTTTGTATAGTCACTAATGGGCCTAATTAGTGGCCGTTAACACTTACAGTAGTATAAAACTACTTTCCAGAAGCTATTGCGACAAGCACTGCCGGGAAATAACATGCTACCCACCACTCGGGATGTGCATGCCAAGATTTGCAAACAAACGTTCCATACGTACATCATGTGGGGAAACTGAATTCAGACAAGAATTCAGGGGCCAGCCTTAGGGCACAAGGTGGGATCCAGGGGGCAGAGCCCCCGGAAGCTCAGGGGTATGAGCATTTAATTACGGTCACATGAGCATACTTTCTTTTCTATTTCTTTCTATTTAATTATCTTTAATATACTTTTTCAAAAGTGTGGGGGGGGGGCTTGAGCCCCCAAGCCCGCCGTTCCACAGGACCTGACAAGTATTGTTTCCCTGATCCGTATATAGGACAGCTAGCCATAATCCGATTTTGTGAGACAAAGTTACCCAATCCCTTTAAGTTTCAAAAAGTAGACTTCATTGACCTGTACAAAGGCTTAGGAACCGGGGGGGGGGGGCTTGGGGGGCTCAGATATCATTGCGGGGCTTATAGATATCGTTAAGCCCCCCCCCCCCCAATTTGTCGGTGGGGCCTAGATATCATTGAGTCCTTAGGGGCTAAGATACCATTGAGCCCTCAATATTTAAGTGGTGCTCAGATATCATTGAGCCGCCCCCGATACTCATTGCGGGGCTCGGATATCATTACCCCCCCCCCTCCTCCCCAATCATTATATTCTAGGCATGAAACTCATGTATACCTATAATCTACAGGCTTACCATTCAAATATAAACATTTTATAAATATTTATTTGGGGAGGAGGGGGGGGGGGTCAGACATCGGATCTCGCATATCATTGACCCCCAAAAATATATTTGGTGGATCTCAGATATCATTGAAACCCCCCAATATTTTGGCGGGACTCTGATATCATTGAGCGCCCCCCCCCCCCATATTTTGGTGGGGCTCAGATATCTTTGAGCCCACCCCCCCCCCCCCCCATATGTTGGTGGGGCTCAGATATCACCCAATTGTTTTTTGTGGGGCTCGGATAACATCACGGAGCCCCCCGATATTTGTGTGGGGCTCGGATAACATCACGGAGCCCCCCGATATTTTGGGAGAGGCTCGGATATCATTGAGCGCCCCCCCCCCCCAATATTTTGGCCGGGCTCGGTTATCATTATCATTATAGATTGGTGCACATCATTATGCTCGATCATCCTCACCTATCTGATTGTTTTCATTCCTCTTTTAGTCATCCTTTATTTGCTACCTATGATATTTGATAAATACCTATATATATATGCAAAATAAACCCTGGAGGTTTTAAGTTGTAAAGTCCAGGGCAGTTCAACACACGCAATCATGAAATAAGGATGTCTTCATCGAAGTGTCTCTGTAGGTTTAGAACCACGCCCTGTGCCTACCCGCTCAGGCCACTCTACATTCAGGGACGTCGCTAAAGGGAGGGGGGGGGGTGTGGGGTTGAAGTCGGTGGAATTTTTGTTATGTCGGTCGGCCAGCAATTTTTTCCCCTTTGAACTGTGACTTTTTATCGGACAAAGAAACATTTTAGAAAATTCAGACAATGATTTAGAGTCGGTACAATGAATCGTCTTCTTTTCATAATAATTTAATGAAACGTTGAAGCTCCCGCACTTCGCGCGAGATGGGGAGAAACTGAATTCAGACAATTAGGGTTAAGAGTAGAGAACGGTACACAACAAATCGTCTTCTTTCTATAATAGCTTAATGAAACGTCTAAGCTTCCGCGCTGCGCGTTGGATGGGGAAACTGAATTCAGACAAGGATTAAGAGTCGAGAACGGTACAACAAATCGTCTTCTTTTCATAATAATTTAATGAAACGTCTAAGTTATCGCGCTTCGCGCGGGAGGCCTTTCACCCATCCCCTCCACCACGCGCGCTCTTTAAGTGATTCGCTTGCTCAATACCACCCCTCCCTAAAATAAGATCCTAGCTACGCACCTGCGTTTAAATGATGCTAACTAAGTTGACGAAATAATTTGTATATTTATGTCGTCGACGAAAATGACCATTTGCGCATAACAATTTAGCCTTCGCATGATCATTTTTGCGCTTCTTGCTGCCAGCAAGATAGTTTCCTTCTGCATTTAATTTTCTTGCTGTTATGAGTTTATATTCATATTTTTGTTATCAAACAGGAATAAA